GTTCGAACCGGGGTATGGATAGCGCCTTTCGCCACCATGGTGTAGTTGGTTATCACGTTCGCTCCACATGCGAAAGGTCTCCAGTTCGAACCTGGATGGTGGTACTTTTGCTGTTGGTCTGTCACGCACATCTTTACCTCCCATATTGCAATATCTCGTGTGTGTGAAAAGAGTTGTTTGTCGTGTCTCTGTTAGCTTCTTCCCGTGTTTGTCGTGTTTGTCGTTCTTCTGTAGCTTCTTCCTCGGGCTGGCGGTGCGGTGGGCGTGCGCGCGGTGTTTGCGATTTCGGGCCCGGGCTTGTTGCGCAGCGGCGCGGCGGTGAGCGACGCGTAGCGAGCGAACCGCCGGGGTGGGCGCCTGGCGGCTCCGCGGAGCACCTTTGGCTCGGCGCGGGGGTGGGTGCGAGTAAAAAGAAATAGTTAGAGGGCTGCGCAGGCCGTCCCGTTTGCTGTTTGCATAAAAAACACGCCTCGCGCCTGTCTGGGCTGTCTGTTGCGCTGCGCGCGCGCGCCGGGGCTGTCTCACTCACGTGCCGCAATATGTGTCACACACGGCGGCTTCTGCCACCTCTCGACTGGTTCCACTTTCTACGCACACCTACCGGGGAAGGGGCGCTTGGGAGCGCGGGGGCGCGCAGCGCGCGGCGGCGCGGCGCGCGCAACAGAGGGTAGGGTGGGGAAGACGGCGAGGAGGGGGCGGCGGCGGCGGCGGCGGCGGCAGCGCGCGCGCGGCGCGCGCGACGGGGGGGCGGAGCAGCGACCGCTGGCGCGGCCGCTGCTCCGTCTGTGCCAGGGACGCGCGCTCTGCGCCGCTGCAGAGCGTGCGCGTCAGGGCAAGGGGCATGCGTGGCGGCGCGGGACGCGCGGCGGCGGCGGCCTCCGTGAGCGGTGAGGCGGCCGGGCGAGGGCGCGGCGGGTGACGGGTCAAGGGAGCAGACCACACCCGGCGTCGCTTTTTGAGCGACGCTGTGGCACGCCTGCGCAGGGGCCGCAGGGCGGTCAGTTGTGGGGCGAGGCGGTGCCGGCCGCGGGCCGGGTGCAAGGCGCCGGCCTCGGCGCCGCCTCGGCGCGCCGCACGGGCCGCGGCGGGTGACGGGTCAAGGGAGCAGCCCACACCCGGCGTCGCTTTTTGAGCGACGCTGTGGTACGCCTGCGCAGGGGCCGCAGGGCGGTCAGTTGTGGGGCGAGGCGGTGCCGGCCGCGGGCCGGGTGCAAGGCGCCGGCCTCGGCGCCGCCTCGGCGCGCAGCACGGGCGCGGCGAGCCTCTGAGCGGGAGCCGAAGGTTTGCCTGTGGTGGTGGGGGTGATTTGACTTCTCGGCAGAGGCCGTCCCTAGCTGTGAACAGCAAAACGGGACAGTATTCTTTGCCTTTGCTGTTGCTGAGCAAGGCCACCCATGAGTAGTGCTGCGGCCAGTGCAGCCCAGCGGGCAGGCTTGCGCATCAACTTTGATGATCTCTACCGCAAGCTCCTCGAGGATCCGACGCTCCAGCTCGACCAGGCCGTCGTCGCAAGAATGAGCACCGCCATGCAGAGTTACCAAGTGCGTTTCGCGACCGACCCTGTGGGCCCACCGCCTACACTCCCGCGCCAGCCTGCCCGCGCCGCCACACTCAGGCGGGGCAGCTCCAAAAGGGCGAGCTCTTCAAGCTCTTCAAGGAGGTGTTCGGCCCGGCCCGCATCAAGGAGGGCATAAAGTCCCTCAGCAGTACAGCGCAATGCGCGGCTGGCGGCAGCGGCAGCGCGGCTGAATCCGCTCCTCGGCCAGCGACCACTGCAGTCACGCGCAGTCCGATGCCGATGATGCCACCTCTTCCCGAGGTCGCCGCAGACGCAAGCCGAAAGCGCCCAGCGCCCGCCGCAAGCCCCGGCGGCGGTGACGCGGTCGGCAGCGGATCGGGCGCAAGCGGCGGGGGCGTCGCCGCCAAGCGCGCGCGTGTGGCGACTGCGGACGGGTACGCGTGTGCCGCCGCGGCCTCGGATGGGGCGGTGCTGGCGAGCGTCACGGGCACACGGCGGGGCGAGGATGCGGAGAAGGAGACGAAGGATCTCGGCAGCGGCTTTGACATCTTCCAGGCGCCCCCCCACACGCCGCGGTCCGAGGCCCGCAGCGCGCCCAGCAGCTTGGGGAGGCTTCCAAATGGGCCACGCCCCCTGCCCGCCGCCGACCCATCCCTAGCCGGGCGCTTTGTTTAATAATAACCCCGCCCTGCGTTTTTGGGGCTTTCCCCCGCGAACATCTCCGGGCGTGGATTGCCCCCCGTCAAGGTAACCACATGCCCTCTAACTTATATTTTTACGGTATTAGTGTGGGGTCTACGTGCCGATTAATACCCCCCTCCGGGGTGGTCTTGCCGGACCTTGCCAAGCCAATTTTTCCTCTCTCCATGAATCTTGTCTCCTTTTTGTACGACCAATCTTTCCCCCCCG